AGCCACACGCACCTCCTGCACTAACAGCTCTCGCCGGAGCGAGAACACCAGTAACGAGCAGGCAGAGTGGGACAATGCGGCTAAAAATGAAGCCCCGATCCCGCAGCTCCATGGGCACACGGGCTTGACAGCTGGAGCGAAGCTGAGGCTCACAAGGAAAAAGCCAGGGCTGTTCAAGAAGGGCCTCTGGCTCCCATCCACTCCGGTGCCAATGCTGGCCTGCCAGGGACAGGCACTCCTGGGGTTCCGGGAAGGCGGCAAACGCAGCTGTGTCACTACACCGTCTCCTCTCCCACCTCCACGCAAGCCGGGCCCACAAGCTGCTGAGAAGCTCCACTCCAGGGACAGCTGCAGGGGAGAGGCAAGCTGTAGGGATGTGCTTCTTCCAAAGGGACATACGTGGTCAAGGTCTCCTCAAAAATTTGGCAAAGGATGTGCCTCCCAATCAGGGGTACTCGGCAATGCCGCTGCCAACCCGTTTGCAGGAGGCTGCACCAAGAGGCAAAACTAAAATTTCTTTTAAGTCAAAGAAAAGCTGTAAAAATGCATCTGGAGAACAGATATGCATCCCAGCACCCACGGATCAATTCGCTGCCCCCACGCTGCTCTCACAGACACCAGCCATGGGACCGTGTTTCAATGCGGGGAATACCTCCAGAAACTGCCTTGGCTTGGGAAAGGGTGGGGGGGGTCCCTCCGGCCAGCCGAGGACATGGCTCTGCACAGCGGGTACCACCCCCACAGTCACGATGAGGAGCTTGGCGCCAGAAGACAGACCTTTCCTCTTGGACTACTTTATTTGGTAAAACTCAGAAACCAACAACTGATTGAGCTTCCCAGAACTTCCCTCCCTGAGCGAGCCACAGATCCTGTGGAGAGAGAGAGGAGCGCACTGTCCCGCTCAGCTTCGTTCCCCAGATTTAGAGAAATCCTCCCTCTCCGCACGTCTCACCAGCCCCAGACAACTCCTCCAGCCCTCGCCCTCACCCTAGAGGCAGCTTTGCTTCCTCTTCCAAAAAACCACAATGAATCAAAAAAAAAAAATCAAAAAAGAAACTGAAAAAAAAAAAAAAAGAAAAAAATTTAAAAGATACTAAAGACAACAGTGAAGAGTGAATCCAGGCAAGGGCACCGCATCAGCTGAGCGCTACCAGTCAGTCACCCAACGAGAGTGATCGGCGAAGCCCAGTCCTGGGTCAGCAGCCGAGTCCGCAGGATTCATGAATCCGAGCAGGCGATGACGTGGTGCCTGATCAACACCCCCCCAAATCCCTAGCAAGCTGGCTCCCCCTTCGGAGACTCCTTCCCCCATGTCCCCTTGGGCAAGGGCCACCACCGCTGGTGTTCAGCGCAGCCGGCCAGGGGTCTCCAAGCTGCAGGCGGGGAAAAGACTCCCTTGCTCTACATGGAGGAAGGTGCTAGGGAACGACTCCGAATCCTGCTAATGGATCCGGGTCAGCTCCTCTACGATCTTTATCAGGTCATCTACGGTGGCCTCCCTCTTCATGCCGCTGCCATCATCAATCTGGAAGGAGAGAAAAAGGCATCAGAGCTTGGAGACATCAGCAGGAGCTGAAGAACAATCCTAAATTATCGCCTTGGAGGAAGGCATTCATTTAGGATCTCCCGATTTACTGCAGCCTGGATTCCTGGGCAGGGTCCCTACTGGTAATTTTGAAGGGCCCAAGCTCACATCACCCATCTCACCTGCAAGTTTGCCACCACCTCCTGCATCTTGGGCCTGCTGATGTCCAGGAAGCTCTCAATCAGGTCACCATCAATGAAGCCCGTAGCTGGTTCTGTCTTGCGTTCGGTGTGAAACGATCTCCAAGTGCCACTGTTAAGGAGCTGAATCCACACGGAGTAACGCCAGCCCTGGACCACGGGTGGACACAGCAGCTGCCCCAGACAGACTGACAGTGCTGCCTCAGGAGGATCACAGGATTTGTGCCCCATTTTTAGGGCCACCACAAAGCCAGATTCCTCCTCAAACCCTGCAAGAAAGCCTCCTCTCTACTGTGCGCAGCTTTGTTATCCAAAAATGAAGGAGTTAATTCTGTCCAGATTTTCAGTGACACCTTCTCTTTGAGCACAAAGCCCTGGGCACCTGGCAAACACACTACCACCCTCTCCAGCTGACATACGCTCCTACCAGAGTGTCCCAACAGAGATACACCTCCAACACTCCACCCTGCACCTGGCTCGGGCTGAATTCACAAGCCAGCCCCCAGCATGGACCAGCTCAGGCTTCTGACAGAACTGTGAAAGGATATAAGGAGTGCTCAATCTTGCCCACACTCTTGATGACTTTATTCAGCCTGTTCTGCATGTCCAGGAGGAGGTTGTACCAGCTCTCTGACAGCGAGGTCACCAGTCCTGCAAGGGGCAAAATGGAGACGAAGGTTCAGGGCCCACCCCAGGGCGTCCTGGCAGCTCCCAGCAGGCAAGGACTGGCAGGCTGCCGGGACTGGAGTTGTGCTGGATGCTGGTGCCTGGGAGAGCTGGGACATGGAACGAGTTTCACAGAAAGCCAGAGCACTTTCTTCTCCTGGAAGCAATCCAGGGAGAAAAGGATGTCTCTGAGGGAAGTATAGCACAGACTGTCACTCAACTAGGGAAGAGAGAAGAACGGAGACACGAGGAGACCCCCAGCTCAGG